AAGGTGCTTTGGAAATGTTTTCATAAAAATACAAAATTTTCTATAACAAAAAAGTTACAGCGATTTGTTAAAAGTGCATATTTTTGAAAAACACCCCGTAACTCCGAAACGGTAACATATCTCGATATGCGGTTTTTACTATCATGTTTTTGACAAAAATTGAGCTCCAGACGCCGATATTAGTTTTCGTCTATCTCCTATAGAAAAGGGTGTTTCCATTTAAAAGCGTCGAATTTGACCCACCCTGTACCCTCTCCGATACGAAGCATTTTAAATTTTTATCTGCAGAATATGCTGCCTAAGTTGTATGAATGTTCTTAAAATTTAAACAAAGGGAAAAATAAAATATAGGTTTTTAACAAAAAAACATTAATACATGAAATTATTTAAAACAAAAATTGGTTTGGTTATGGGACATATTACAAAGATATTTTAAATATTTGTGTAAGCAAATAGTTACTTTTATTAAGATGTGGTCTTTATTTTATTTAAATTACCAATTTGCATTTAAAATTTGTATAATTTAATATAAATATGCATCTATTAATTAGTAGTAGAGATTATTACTGTATACACATTTGAAGTTTGTTGTAAGTATTTTATTAATTAATTACTTTAAACCGAAGAATATAAAGGTCTGATCTTAATTTATTCTTCCTCTACAGTTTAAAATTTATTTTGTTAATTTTTGGAGTAAAAATATATTTCAGCATTTACATAGTTTATTGTTTCATTGCATCTATCGAAATTGCTTAACTAAAAATATATCAAATTTACAAGAATTAAAACGTACTATTGTGATGATACTGGATAATAAAAACATATAGAATATTCTCACGGTTTCAAGTTACATAGGAAATTAAGAATGGAATTGAATGGAATGTGAGATTACAATAGGGTATAATGATGGTTCAGAAAAGTTTGGGTGGTTCTGTTTTCACAACTGTTCGGTTACTGACGAAATAATAAAAATGGACGGCAATAATATTTAGGTTTTCCAGTTACTACACAGTTTACTTTACTACTTTAAAAAAATGATACGTTTATGAGACATAAATCTTATAATAAGCCTGTACTTAGATGTTACTAAAAATTTATGAGAACTTTTCATTTTTTATGCACTAAATACACTTATTTTAATGAGTATTAAAATATTGTAATAATTATGGCAAATTAAGATTAGATAAAATTAATAAATAATTGAAAATGTTTATGTACCTACTGCCTGTTGATGTCTCCTAGACATAGGTATCATGTTTAATTTCAACTTTTCTGTTATATCAAACTTGTAACTATTTTAACTTGAGTAGTTATGTTTATAATAATTCTTTTAGTTGAGGTAAATTAATAATAATACAGGGTGGCCCATCGAAAACGTTCCACAAGGCATAACGGCCAGGGTAATTTTTTTTTCAGGAAATTCAAAAACACGTCAATTTTGTTTGTGAGGGGGACAACTTTTGCCCCAAAAATTATTGCAAAATCTTCAACCTTCTAAGCGGGGGTGTCATCCTCCAACTTTTTTCAAATGGGAAGGGGGGTCAAGTGGTACCGCAATGAAAAGGGCTTTTTATTCTCTATACTTTTCCGCTTCGTTTTTGAAAATCGGTCGAGTCATTGAGAAAATATGAAGGATTGAAATTTGAAAAGTTTATTTAAACATTTATCAGAGTAAATGATAAGGATAAATTCCTTCGACCAATTTGCTGTTTTTTCTTATTATTTCTAGATGTTTACGCATTTTTTCACTTGCCACAAGGTTGAACGATCAGGTGCGGCAGTTGCTAGATAGCTGTTCTGTGACTTGTGCGTTGAAGTTCTTCTCAATATCGTTAAACTTTTTAACAATTATGGTGTACTCACTTGCAGAAAAAGTGGAAATAATCGAACTTTATTTTAAAAATAATGAATGTAGCAATCGGGTTCCGCAGATATTCAATGAATGCCATCCTGAAAAACACATTTATGGCAAAATTGTTCGCGAGTTAGTAGCAAAATTTCACGAAACTGGTTCCGTTATGAATAAAAAGAGGCAGAGGGAAAACCCTGTAGTAAATGAAGCTATGAAGATATTCGTATTGGGCCAAGTTGCCATGGATAGTACGCTGAGTACAAGAAAATTAGCCAATGCAAAATTAGCCGACGTGAATCGTACCAGTGTCCAAAGGATATTAAAAAAAACACAAGTTCCACCTGTACAAAATTCAGTTGGTACAAGAATTCAGCGAAGACGATTTTGATCGTCGCTTGCAATTTTGTGAAACTGTGAGTGAACGAGTGGCGAATGATAATAATTTCCTATTTAATGTGTGTTTTTCGGATGAGTGTACTTTCTTTTTGAACGGTGTAGTTAATCGGTATAACTGTCGGTACTGGGCTGAAGGGTTTTTCACGAGGTGCACACACAAGACCCTCAGAAATTGAACGTGTGGGCTGGTATTTTTGGAAATTCTATTTTAGGTCAGTTTAACGATATTGAGAAGAACTTCAACGCACAAGTCACAGAACAGTTATCTAGCAACTGCCGCACCTGATCGTTCAACCTTGTGGCAAGTGAAAAAATGCGTAAACGTCTAGAAATAATAAGAAAAAATAGCCAATTGGTCGAAGGAATTTATCCTTATCATTTACTCTGATAAATGTTTAAATAAACTTTTCAAATTTCAATCCTTCATATTTTCTCAATGACTCGACCGATTTTCAAAAACGAAGCGGAAAAGTATAGAGAATTATATAATAGAGAGAATATAGAAAATATATAGAGAAGAAGCCATTTTCATTGCGGTACCACTTGACCCCCCTTCCCATTTGAAAAAAGTTGGGGGATGACACCCCCGCTTAGAGGGTTGAAGATTTTGCAATAATTTTTGGGGCAAAAGTTGTCCCCCTCACAAACAAAATTGACGTGTTTTTGGATTTTTTGAAAACAAAAATATCCTGGCCGTTTATATATATATGCCTTGCGGAACGTTTTCGATGGGCCACCCTGTATATTTTCAATAACAAAATAGGTATTTTTGAATAAGATATATTATTCAAAATAGATGTGTTGTCTGATATTGATACTATTTTTTTAAATAATTAATAAAAATATTGTAATATCATTCAGTTGTCTCTATAATTTGAGGATAATTTTAGTTTAATATCAATATTTTTATGTGGCACCAAAATTAATCAAAAAAACCATTCATTGTAAAGCTTCATGATATTTTCAGCACATAATATGTGTGTCTATTGTATATTAGCATCAGGAATATGTTATATCAAAGGTTATATCAATGTGTAATTTTTGTTAATTACTCATTTATTAATATTTTATGAAGTACTAGAACAAATACATATAAAAGATTCTTTGTATCTCTGGTCTAATATTCCGATGACTTATGGTAAGGGATTTTGTATGGTTTGAGGAAATGTAATTGATGATGTGTTTTTTTTTCAAACAAAGAATATTTTTTTATATATTCCACATGGTTAAATAAATCCTTGCTTTAAAAAAAAACACCAAATAAATTATTTTGTTATTTTAAATGATGTTGCCTAAACAGTACCTCTGTATTTTTGCTCAATTTGTACCAGTACGATTTAGGAAAGTAGCAGGTTTATTAGAGGAATCTTGCAATAGCGCTGTAAGTAAAGAAAATGCTTCAAACATGTTTTGAAGATGTACCATTTGATCTGTTAACAGAAATGTTTACACAGATGCTGTTTTGAGGTACAAGATGACCAACAAACTGAATTGACAGTAGCAGTCGTAAAAGCAGATAAAAATGATTTGGGAGATGAATTCATTAACATCATATGTTAATGGTGATATTTCGGTGGTTTTATGGCAAAAGGTTCTATGTCAAAATCTTATTGCAATTGTAACACGAAAAAAGTGTTTTGGCCAAAATTTCGAATTCCATAAAAATCATATTGGGTTTAAAAGGTTCGATTTGGATTTTTAAGCCAAATGGAACCATATGATTTTCATGGATTATAGAGAGCTTATTGCCATATTATATGTAACAAGAAAAACGCCAAAATTTCGATATAGGACCTTTTTAATAGGATTTATTAACAACACCTGATGTATTTTTTTTAAATAAATTTAAATTATGGTTAAGTATGAATATGTAGATATTTTTCAGATGGTAGATGCAATATAGGAAGCCTAGAATTATTATACTTTGTGAACCGGTTTCCTGAATCGTACCTTTTGCAAGGCTTTTATAACATTGATATTTCTATTGAAGTACTGCTAATAAAAATCTCAAAACAATCACCTAGTTTGAATATTTTGTGCAGAATGGTACGGTTTTGGCTACTCTTCTGTAATTATTTGTTATTACAATATAGCTTTTTATTTACCAAAATCTTCCACTTATAAATTGATATTCCTTTAAGATATACTCGTATCTTTTTTTATATGCTTTTTGCAGAAATAGTTATAGTGTTATTCATATATCATCAACCTTTATGACCATATTTTCACTTATACACATGTGTCAATTTAACATTAAATTAAGTTGTTCACTTTAAAATTTTTTTAAATGAAACACTTTAAATAAAATTATGTTCTTTTATTCACTTTTTAGTCGATATTTATATATTTACAGAAAAATATAAAATATACAAACATTTACATCAGATTGTCTTTATATTAAATCGTATTTGGTCTAAAATAACATTAACATCACAAAATATACATATTACTATATTACATGGATCACAATCGGGATCACTAGATATCACATTTCAAAGGAAAAAGTATACTAGAAAGCGTATTTACAATAGTTTTAACATTATTTTTTTCTCACTTTGACTAAGGCTACGCGCTGACATGCAATTTTTAGTCAGCCGACTATTTAGTTGCAGAATTAAAACCAATATATTCTTATAGAATATCTATACAGGGTGGGTCTTAAATAAATGTAAATATTTTCAGGGCTGGTAGATCTCGATAAAAGAAACATATATTCTCTTTACCGTTTTTCAAATAAGTCGGCATATTTTACTTTGAAAATTAAAAAAAAAATGTTTTTTTCTTGAATTTTGAGAACCTCTGGATCTTTTCTGGGTTTTACTTCTTGTAAGTTTAATCTACGACCTATGTAGCCATGAAGGTATTATGTTTTTAACTAAGAATTAAAAAAAGTTTTTCAAAATGTTTTCAAAAAATTCCAAATTTTGAAAAGAAATCGTGAAAGAAACATCATAGACGTGTTTCGGGGGTCAAAATAAACTGCCACTAAAAATATTTGCACTTATTTAAGACTAATCCTGTATAGTCGGCCGATTAAATAGTTTCTTCCCGGACACAAACTGCGTGCAACTTTTTAGTTGGTAATAATATATCTGCTTTATTATTGTCTACGCTCACTGGATATTTTCCTGGATATTATAATATTTTCTGGTGGTGTAGTACTTAGTAAATATAAGCTAAAAAAGCATTTTCCGAAATTTAAGATGTCTCGAAGTAAGTATTTTAATATGTATAACGAAGAAGAATTGGACTAAAATATTCATAGCATTCTTTTTTAAATGATATTTTAATAATCGTTCATTGAATATCCAATATTGTATTTATTGCTTATGTCTTGTCTTCGTATTTCCAGAGTACTACATACACAAACTAACTCTTTAAAATCCATTTTTACAGAATGACAAATCGATTTAGTCGGCCCATAGTTTGATTGCATATGTGAGCTCAATTTCTAAATTGACCGATTAAAAAATGTCAGCCCGTAGCCTAAAATTAATTTATGCTTATTTCCGTTTTAAAATATACAGAGAAAATAAATAAATAAGTTTTCTATAAGGACGAATTTACACTGGCTGTCCAATAATGAATTTTTCGAAAAAACGGAGATAATTTAAATAAATGTCTTTTATTAATATGAATAAAATGCTAATCTCTCCAAACGTCCAGAGTGTTTGTTTTACTACAATTTAAAAATTTGAATTTCAAATTTTTCGACGCTACAGGGCCTTAGAAAATATCGACTCACATTTTTTTATCTGTCCATACACTCGGTCTATTCGTTCGTTTAGAATTTTCACACTTTTATCCGGCAACGTTGGAAGAATATCCTTCACAGTCGCACTATTCCGTTTCTCAAACATATCACGCAACAAACTACCAATGTTACCTTTAGTTTTCAGTTTTTTAATAATATCCGCAGTCTGTCTTCGAAAAACGCACAAATTGTCAAGCAGTATCGAGTGATAAATCTCGTACTTCTTCAAAAGTCTGTACCCGTGCAACAACCCTGATTCATTATCCAGAAACACTAACAATTCACTGTCTGACTTCTTAGCTAGGTTATGGGCCGGCGCATCCATGATGTTCACGTTCCACTGATAGTTGTACAGGTTATTGACGATCCTATCCAAGTTTGCTGTGAGATAATCGAAGATTATCAGGTCAGACCATTGAGCCAGCTCTACCATGTTTCTCAAGACATCTTCTTTATCAAGAATTTCGTTTTTAGTCATGTTGGCAACATCAAACTTATTTAAGTGTCTTTCCAATGGTTTGAACACTGCAGGAATGTTTGCTGAGTTCAGATTCGAGATAAACTGAGTTAGGACTATGGGTCTGTTTGAATTCCACTGTGCTGAAGCAATTTCGTTATGTAAGTTTGACCAAAGTGGTGAGTTTAAGTCAACAATGTTCACAGCGCTGGGTGCTAGGTTGGGTAACCTCAAAATTTGAGCTAAGTAGAAGCTGAAGAGTTCCCCCTGAATTTGGTCGGTGTTTTGTCTGTAACGGACACATCCCTTGATACCGTCTCTGAAGGTGACTAGACGGTTTTGCATACGTCCACAACCATTTTCCAGCCGGATTGCAACGGCTTTATTGAGGTAATCCGACCAGAGAGTGTGTTTTTGGTCTTTATAGCCTTCCGGTAAGGATTTTTCCACTTTGGGGCTCCAATATATCCCGTCTTGGATGAATTCATCGTCGGTACTTTGGTTTGATTCGTTTGTCTCGACGAAAGACACTGTAGGGTAGATGAGTAAGGATTTAGAGTCGTTGACGTATCCGTAACTGTTGTTAAGGAATATTGTCCGAATCACCGAGGACGTGTTGACTTCACTCGATAAACTAGAACTGTTTTTTCTCACACCGTTATAACCGTTGAAGTACATGAAGGGAATAAGTATTCCTATGGTTAATCCGACACTAAACGCAAAAACTACACTGATCAAGCACAGGTTCTTGTAGATCGGAGGTGTCCTCTGTTTGAAGTCGCGTTCCCACGAGCAGTTCGGAAATTTGTCCAGCTTGTGGTCGCTAAAGTTGGCGTACGTCATCGTAGTAGAGCGAGAGAGAGAGTTTCAGTAACTCCCCAGAGCGCACATATTAAAACGGGTCCCGTTTTTGCTGCCTGAAGCGCACGGCCGTATCCGTCTAAAAACGAGCCCACGACTAAGAGCGACTGGTTCTCAGGAGAGTCTTTTATACACTGAATATATACATCGAGCGGGCCAGACATAGACTCGGGTTAACAATACTGAGCCGTGGTGGGATACATAACTGACATATTTCGACGAAGGGAGACGGATGTAGCGCTTTCTTTAAACTAAAGAGAGATGCAGAGAGGCCTCGACCGAGAAAAAGATGACTGGTCGGGGGGACAGAGATGAGACGAGCTGTGTGTATCTCGGGGATTTGAACGCTTTGAGAACGAATTGACACGGGCGGGCCGGAGGAACGGGGTTTGTTTTGTAAGACACATTTTTTATTTCGGCGATCGTGTGTTCTATGGCTGTTGAAGAGCGAGGGACCGATTGATGTGGATTTAAGTTTTTTGGTGGTTTTGTGGTTTGGAGATTTTTGGGCGTTCGCTGTGAAATTTCTCTTTAGGATTAAGATGATTATTATGTAATTTTTTATCGTCCGTGTTTTGTTTTTGTTACAATAGGAAAAATAATAAGATGTTTGTTATTATTTATTTGTTACATATTAATGCAATTTTTTGAGACAAATATCAAACATAAATTGATGTTTTTCGGATATTAGTTCGTATTAGTTTTTGTTTTTTTTTTCATTATATTTTGCTTTTTTATTTTACCTATATCTAATCTATTTTCATTTTATAAAAAAGCAGGGTTTCTGCTCTAATCAAGCATTGATGTCGCCCGTATATACTATTATCGGGCCTGGTGAAAAAATATTTAATTAAAGAAATACACAATATTTTCTCTATTAAACAATCTTATGAACAAAGTTAACAATACTTGATAAATTTTAAAAATATGTCTTTATTTTAAAAGTAAATTTATAATTCTTTGTGGAATGCCTGTGTATTACGTTTAATCTTTCTTTATTTTATAAATTTGGTATGGTGTATAGTTTGGAACACTTAAAAAGGTATATATAAATTAAAATAATGCTTTAATAATTATTATTAGTTACCTTTTGTTTTTTTATTGTTCCTATAATATGTAATCTATTTTCATTTTATAAAAAAGGAGGGTTTCTGTTCTAATCAAGCATTGAGGTCGCCCGTATATGTTATTGTCGGACCTGTGAAAAAATATTTATTTAAAGTAATACACAATATTCTCTCTATTAAACAATTTAATAATATTTTTTTAACAACATTTTTGTTGACTCTTATTAGAAACGTTTATTATTCTTTATATTATAAATTTAGTATGATGTAGTTTGGAACACTTAAAAAGAAAAATTAAAAAATAGTGCTTTAATAATTATTATTAGTAACAATTAATCTGTTTTTATATTTTTATTTCGCAGTTTTTTTTGGAGATGTTATGTTTGATGGCTATTTCGAGGGCCGATAAACTTAATTTAGATTTAAGTTTTTTGGTGGTTTTGTGGTTTCGAGATGAGCGTTCACTGTGAAATTTCCGTTTTGGATTTAGACGAGTAACGTCGTTTTTTTATTTTCTCTTTTTTTATTGAGATGATACAAGTGCTAACAAGGTTCCTATATATTTAGTTTATTAATTCGTATTCAAGTAAAATAGTAAGAAATTATCCAATTAAAATACTCAAAAAGATTGCATAATTATTCTGCAATCTTTTTGAGTATTTTATCGAGTATTTTATCAAATATGTAATTAATAGTGATTGAGACTAGGCTTGGAAATTACTTAGTTGTTCAAAATTATTATTTTAATTTACTGCAAATAGCGTTTTTCCGACTATTGCATACAATTTTAAAGAAAAAAACGCTGATTCGGTATAATATATTAAAAAATACAATTTTTTGTCAGACAAACATTCTAACAATTTTTTCTTATAGTTTTATTTACATAAAATTACTAAACATACTATTTATTTAAAGATGTTCTGTATTGAAAGTGCCTTAATATTTTTAGAGTGGCTGCAACGACGTTCCGTAATCCTGCCGTTAAAACATAACAGCTAGTTTTTATATATAAAAACCAATTGTTTTATTTTAACAGCAGGATTACGGGACGTCGCACAGTGGTCAGAATGATCGATCTGACCCTCCAAAAGTATTTGTCGGCGTTTTTAAATTAGAGAAAAAGCAATACTTTAATTTTATATATATTAGTTAATAACAAACTATAAATTTAATAAATATATAAAAAAAAACTTTAAATTAGGGGATTAAATGGATAATTTAACTAAAATTATATACAAAAAACACATTATTACTAATTACTACAAGTATAGTGCTTCTCATCCCAGGTGGGCCAGGATTTCTAATTTCGCTGGCCATTTTTTTGCTGGGACAGTCAAAATAAATAGGCCAACAAAAAAATGGTCAACGAAATAAAGAAAAGTTGGCTCAAATATCTTGATAATTAATGTTCTAAAACTAACAATTTCCTCACAAATAATTCTCGATATCAGAAACATCTTCTTCATCCCTATCATCTTGCAAATCCAACTCGCTTGCATTATAGGAACTTGTTAGAAGCTCTATTACTTCTGAAGGTAATGGTCCACTTTGTTTGATGGTCTGCGTATCATGCTAGTGATTACGGGGTCAGATGTTATGAGTGCCATATGCATCATATCCTCCATTGTCTTCTTTCTAGAAATTTTCCTTGTATGGTCTCGTCGAAAGCGCTTGAGCTCCCTTGTGTTTTGCCTCTTGGGCCTCCTCAGACATCTGTCCTATTGGGACTATGGAGTGTTTGATAATTTCTTCTCCATGAATTAATATTTTATGGAGTGTTGGAGGCATAAAATACCAGTCATATAGAGAGACATAGAGTTGTGCTGTGTCATAAGCATATTGCCCAAATTTCTGGCTATTGATCTCCAATCCACAAGTGAGAGTTCGCAAAATAATGGATAAACGATATATTAATGTCTGGTCCACACCCGTTATTGCTGCGGCTAATGCGGGATTTGCAAAGAATCTTCTCGCCGTATTCCCGTCATTGGTTGTCCCAAATCCTGGTTTTGGTATATCGACGAGAAGACCCATTTCATTCCGTAGTTTGTTCTGGACATTTCTTTTTCGGGCGCTTACAACCTCTTTGTCCTCTTGTCGCGCTTGCCATTTTTTTATGTCTAGACGATAGCTGATATGTAGTATGCACTCAAAACACTTGATTAGAGCATGTAAGCTGGATATCCCAAACGAAAGAGCTTCCTGATCTCTAGCTCTTTTAGAATGACTACTTAGATCATTCATTGCTTTCGGGTTAACTTTACAAATTAAGCACTTAGACGACGGTGTTTCTGTGAGAATATTTCCAATCTTTCCATCGATCATGGTAAGATTCAAAGAATGAGTCACTTCAAAGTTCAAATCATTAATACAAACTAACGTCGATTGCAACCGGGTTATCTGCTGCCTTATTTTTGGGACTTCGGAACGCACAAGTTCTTCAGTTTCTTTTTTAAATAAGAGCTTGATAGGCCTGCAAAAGGATGTAGATGACGGGCGTTGATTTTGCCATAATATTACATCGTTTTCACCAAGGAGGCGAAGGGGAACACATGAAATGACAAATAAAAATGAGTCATCAAATCCTTCACTACTTCCTTCTGTAGTGAATCTCTGTTTATAATTCTGCTGCCCAGCTGCTCCGTCGCAACCCCATTTATACAAAGCTTTTATTTTTGAGGTACTACCTCTAGAATTTTCGTAAACTTGTACTAACACATCTTGTTGCACTAACAATAAACGATTCACCGTGTGGTCAAGAAGCGACTGTAACATCACTTCGGCTGAAATTTCAGTGATGGTCATGTCTTTGGGGTAGCAGCGTTCTTTCGCCAACAGTACTTCGTTATAGTTCGGATATATGTCGGCGTTGTGCTCTTTGCTGTCTCTGCTGATACCTGCATATTGAGATCTCGTTAATTTGTTTTTTATTATTGAAGCTAATGCTTCGTCTGCCGTGAACTTAGTAGGGGTTTTCTGCGTTTTTGAAAGTTTCTTGAAATTCTTTGCTTCTTCTGGGAATTCAGAAACAGTTTTCACTAAATCAGCTGCAGTTCGTAAGCCCTGCCGGCGAAGAGAGGCTTGTGTAGCATAGCTAAGCTCATCTTTGTCAATCTCAAGCAACTCTTGATCCTTCGTCTTTGGTAGATTCAGACGACTCAGCAAATGCAACTTTTGGTCTTCCATACGAAGATGAGGGCGTATTGTGACACTTTTGTGAGACGGCCTCTTGCTTTTGTAAGACGTCTTCAAATGCAACATAACCGTTTAGCCACTGTTGGTACTTTTTCTTAAGGTTAGTAATGCTATATTGACATTTTCTCCATTTCGCCTGCATCTGCTTGCAAAAATTTTGACATTTCTTTCTTAAAATGTCTTCAGGGGGAACATTTAAATTCAAGCGTTCAACAGCAAATAAATAAATCGCTTTGTCTTTCTCGTGTTTATCTTTTTCATTATGCCATACTTCAAATAGGTCCCGTCGTATGATACCGCCGGCTGGTACTAAAAAAATCATATAAATTAGGGATGGATCAGTATGGATATGATTGTTGCAAATTCAGGTAAGGGACTAAGTAAGCTAAACAAAAACATAAAAAAAGTTGTTGCAAAGCATTGCGAAAAAATAGCAGCTTCATCAAAATTAAAATTATTTTTTTTTGTATCATATAAACAGCGCTGCATTTGAAAATTTATTAAAAAAGAATAACTGAATGTAAATCGGAAAACGCCTGGCAGAATAATAGACTTACCTTCAGGTGATATCTCCATATCACACTTCAAAACTTATAACTGTGTCTCTGTATTAAATAGGTAAATATAACAGATAAACTAACACTAAAGTGGTGAAACTATTACACAAGTTTTTTCTTGTCGTTTTGGTGCAATACTCTACCGCTTGGGATTTTTTCATGTGAAACATTCGATCGATACTGAAAGATTTATGTTCTCTGGAACATGTCCAGACAAGTTTTAATTACATCGGTCGTATGCGCATAAGTGACTTTTGGAGGGCTAGAACGCAGATTCTGATCACTGTGCGTCGCGTCGGCGTCA